GAGGAAATAATCATTCTTTATCTGACTCAACAATTGATGCTGTGGTCAGGTTCTATTGTGAAGATGGTATCAGTCGAGTCTCATCCAATTCCAAAGATACGATCAAAATCCACGGGCAATCAGTGGCAGTTCGATTTTTAGAAATGACTGTCTTAGATGCCTACCACTTATTCAACGAACGACATCCTGGAGCTGTTTCAAGATCAACTTTTAATGCTCTTCGACCACGAGAAGTAAAGACTGCAACACCGCACGGGACGTGCATGTGTATTGTCCACGAAAATATGGATCTGTTATTGAAGGTTTGTGCTAGTTGTATATTGATTCGAATGTAACTTAACTTCATTGTAGGCTTGAAACGCTTACTGCCGAAAATGTGCCGGTGTAGTTTCTTTATCGTCTAGTGGCAAGGTCAATATGAAGGATCTGATAACTCAAATGGTTTGCAATGTCTCGAATGAAAAGTGTTTTAATGGTAAATGTGATCATTGTCCAATGAAAAGCATCACAGATACTCTTACTGGTAACAATATGGTGGATTTGGATGAAGAATGCTCATGGAACATGTGGAAGAAAGTCAATAATAAGTTCGACCTTCAGCAGATGTCTGGCTCAGTTGATTCTCTACTAACGGAAATAGAAGAAAGATGGCCTTTATTCTTGCTACACACACACACACACATAAATCGTGAACAACGTGAATATATCAGAGATTTGCGTTGTCAATCAACGGACAAGACTTTTGTTGTGGCTTAGGTAGATTTCTCAATGAATTATACACTAATACGTCAACGTGAAGTTCAACAGGGATTTTTTAGTCAGCATCAAGTCACCTTATTTACAATCCATTTGACCATTGGAAAAGAACAGCGAAATTTAGCGATCATTAGCAACTATATGGAACATACAACAGCATTTGTACATTGTGCACAAAAAATTCTCACCGAATTTATCAAGAATAACTTTCCATTGGTAAAAAAGATCAATTATGTGAGGTAAATCTTATTTTTCTTATAGTTTATGTGCTACTTCAACTCTGCTGCTTCGTTTAGTGATGGTGCATGTGCACACTTTAAGAACAATGCCACATTTTGAACCTGATTCATCACAAGATCGATTTTGATTTGGACGCTTGTTGGACGTTTACAGCTACAGGTCATGGGAAAGGTGCTGGTGATGGGATAGGTGCAGTACTGAAGTCCATCGCCAGACGTGCTACACTTTCCAAGAATATTCTCGTGTCAAATGCAAAAGACTTCTACGAGTTCTCACAAAAACAACAGCTCGAAATAGCAAGAAAATCCAACAAAGATATTCCTGGTGTTCATGTCTTCTTTCTAGAATCAAATGAAGTAGAAGAGGTTAAAAGCAATTATTTGAATGCTAGAAGCGAAAAACTTCGAACAACAGGTGAGAAAGACCTTTGCTTCTATTCTTTTATGTCCGTATTGTTTTAGGTACAATACAAGGAATCCGAACTATGCATAAATTCAAACCGATTAGCGATTCAACGGTTCAATATAGTTTGACGTCTCTATCAACACAGATCAGGACATTTACGTTCAAATAAAAACCCTTTTTATGTCTTTTCCAGTCGATCAAATTTTTTAAACTCAGACATCATGATGATACACAGCATTCAGACAGATTGAACAGCTCTTTCCATTTTCTCGCTATACTAGGTTTCTTTAGTCTTAGATTCATGAATCTAGAGAAAATGACTCTTCACTCAGGCAATAGGACGGCCTAATGTTTCTAGACTTGTTTTAGATTTTTAAACACAAAAAAATTCAAAAAAAATTGCTTTTGAACAAGTTCTAGGTTTTTTCCTGACATTTTCTCTATATATAAAAACATATCATAGGTGTTCCGAAAAACTGCTTCAAAACTCGAGATTTTTAATAGAAAGGACTTATTTTTTTTTCATCAAAAGTGTTTTCTAGAGCATACTGATACTTTGACGCGAAAAAAATTCGAAAAAAGAACCTTTCCAAAAAAGTGGATGGGTCCTCCACGATCCGTCGGCAACAATAACCATGATAAAGCAGTCAACATGCCGTTTTCATACTTTTCCACTATAAAGTCAGCATCTCTTTTGTGGCAAGCTTCCCACGACTGACGCTCTATGGGCCATGCCCAAATAGTGTCACTCACTCCTCTACCTTCTTCTAAACGCAATTGGAAACTGTATCCAAAGATCTGCCTTACATACAGCATGTTCAATCATCTTGTTTCTCGTCTCTTCTTCTTTTCTTATCATGATTTTCGTTTTTCTTTCTTTTCAAGGCTCATGTTTGGCAGTATTTTCGATAAATAATTGTCCCCGTTAGCTCTACGACGTACCGCCAACGTATCTTTGCACTTCTACGTGCTAAAAAATATTGTTCTTCGAAACATTTTGACTTCAAAAAAGTTGATATTCAGAGGGTCTAAGGACAGTTCTCATTATCATATCCAGAATCGGCACCGTCGATTATCTACAAAACACTAACTTTCACCGAAAAGGCAAAAAGTTAGTTTAAGACTTTTGCTCGTTAAGCTTCTAGCGTTTTGAAGCGCAATGTACTTATAGCGTTGCACTTATAGCTGCTAAAATTGATCAACAGAAGGACAACATGATAAGTTGTAGGATCTGTTAGACAATTTTTAGCATCAGCTATTAATCAGAATACCTCTGTTTACTAATATATCCATTATCTGAGTATTTTTGTGAAATACCTCATCCTACCGATCATACGTTTTACACGCACACCTGAGAGCAAAAAATAGGTTTTCTCGGATATACATACACAGTATTAACAGAACTATTGCAGACCACTGATCGTGAGGAGTTTCATCTTTAGACGGCCTGGTCTATTCTAATAAGCTTTCTTTATTAAGGTTTATGGCATAGAAACTACGGTATACAGGATTTACTTTCCGATGATTAATTTTTATTTTAATTAGCTTTTTTCTTATAGAAAAGGAGATATATATGTTTTTTTCCTATAACGGATTTACTTTCCGATGATTAGATAAAATACCTATATTAATTAAACAGTCTGATATATAGGGATTTACTTTCCAATAATTTGATAACATATGTATACTAATTAAGCAGTATATACTTTCCACTGATTTGGAAAAAGTATTCACTTAATTTATTACTTGATGGATATGAAAGAAAAACAGAAAATAGAAAAAAAGATCAACTTTTGGAAGAACACTGGAAGTATCTCATACCAGCAGCCTTTAAGAAATTTGGAATATCCATTCGTCCATCGTCGTAGCGTTGCCATAATTTTACTAAACATTCATCTGTTATTGTCTTATTTTTTCGACGCTTTGGAGCCGGGGCACCCATATCATCCCGTAATCTTGCTAAGGATGCTAACAATTCTTCTTTCTGCAGTAGATCAATGAAAACGTAAATATTAGGATGTGGTGCATTTACATGTTTTTTCATTCTTGAATGACGGCCTTCCAAATAATTAATTGTGCGAGGCATTACATTGCGATGATGATTA